AAATAAAACAAACAAAACAAATAAATAAAATAAACAAACAAAACAAATAAATAAAATAAAACAAACAAAACAAATAAATAAAATAAAACAAACAAAACAAATAAATAAAATAAACAAACAAAACAAATAAATAAAATAAACAAATAAAACAAATAAACAAACAAAACAAACATATCAAATATCAACTTACACATCAGGGCTGTAATGCTCTCTCTCCAGCACCGCCCACATAGCACGCCGCACCTGAGAAAATAAAAATAAATAAATTAAATTATATTAAATTAAGTTAAATAATTAATGCTTCCTTTAGTGCTTCGTCTTTGTTTGAGTGCAAGAAGAAAAAAAAAGCAGCAACAAACCCAGCAGCAGCAGCAGCAGCAACAGCAGGAAAGGCGCAGCAGCAGAGCAACAGCAAATGCAGCAGCTGCACAACCGAAGCAGCAGAACCAGCAGCACAACTCAGAAACAGCAGAAGCACAACTCGCATCAGCAGCAACAGCGCAAACGTATCAGCAGCAGCCGCAGCAACAGTAGCGGCAACAGCAGCAGCAGCAGCAACTTACTTCGTTTGCGAATGCTTCAATGCGTTCGTCTTCTGAAGAAAAATTTTCTGCTGGAGGCGGAGAGACAGGCTGCAGCCAGTACGCCCGAAGCTCACAGCAAGGCTGCAGCAGCAGCAGCAGCAGCAGCAGCAGCAGATGCAGCAATAACAGATATGTCGAGTCTGGCGCTCCAAAAAAGGCGGGCAATGCATGCAATCCTGCTGCTGCTGCTGCTGCTTCAGCAGCAGCAGCAAAGAGGAAAATATGACTAACACAGCAACAATACCCGCAGCAGCACAAATCCAGCAGCACAACAGCAGCAACAGCCAAAGAAGCAGCAAAACCGCAGCAGCAACACAACCACAGCAGCAGCAGCAGTAGCACAACCTCAGCAGCAGTAACAGCAGCAACAGCAGCAGCAGTAACAGCAGCAGGAGCAGCAGGCTCACCCAAGCTGAGAGCATAAGAGAGATGAAGTACTGTGAAGGTAATAATTCATAGGCTGGATGCATGCAGCCTGCGGTGTATATCAATACACACGGCTGCAGCTGCTGCAGCGCAGCAAACGCTCCTCTTCTAAATCGAAGCAAACCCAACCCATTTGTTGTTGTTCCTGATCATAGCACAAACCCTTTAAACCCTAATAAACCCTATTAAACCCTAATAAACCCTATTAAACCCTAATAAACCCTTTAAACCCTTATAAACCCTTATAAATCCCAGTAAACCCTAATAAACCCTATTAAACCCTAACAAACCCTCTAAACCCTAATAAACCCTATTAAACCCTTGTAAACCCTTATAAACCCTAATAAACCCCAACAAACCCTCATAAACCCTAATAAACCCTTTAAACCCTAATAAACCCTAATAAACCCTTATAAACCCTTTAAACCCTTTAAACCCTTTAAACCCTTCAAGCCCTTATAAACCCTTTAAACCCTAGTAAACCCTAATAAACCTTATAAACCCTAATAAACCCTAATAAAGCCCCCGTAAGGCAATGCTGTGAAGGGGCCCTAAGAATAGGTGTTAGGGTTTAGGGTTTAGGGTTTAGGGTTTATTACCTTCAGGGAAAACCACAACTGGGTTGAGCGAAGTGTCTGAACTCCCCATCTTCATGCGCGACACCAGAGCCTCCAGGGCTTTGCGCCTGCAGCAGCAGCAGCAGCAGCAACAGCAGCAGCAAGATTAGCAGCAGCAAGATTAGCAGCAGCAGCAGCAGCAACGGCAGCGTCAACGCTTTCTCGCAGCCGCAGCAGCGAAAACGACCCCAAAAGGAGACGTTCCTGCTGCAGCGCAGCACACTGCTGCCTCCCATCAGCAGCAGCAGCAACAGCAACAGCAGCAGCAGCAACAGCAGCAGCTTGCCTGCTTTCTGCATCATCCCTATCTACAGATATACAACCCAGGAAGCGAGCGGGAGAAGCAATGAGAGGCGTATGAAATATTGAGGCCTGCAAAACAATCGTCATCATCATCAGCAGCAGCAGCAGCAGCAGCAAGATCAGCAGCGGCAACAGAAGCAGCAGCAACGGGAACAGAAGCAACAGCAACAGCAGCAACAAGAACACAAGCAGCAGCAGCAACAGCACCAGAAATGACACGGACAGCGAGAGCAACAGCAGTAGAAACCGCAGCAGGAAAAGGAAGAGTAGCAGCAGCAGCAGCAGCAGCAGCAGCAACAGCAGCAAGAGAACCTACCTTGCATACGAATGCTGCATGCGCCTGAGCTAGGAAATACATGATATCCTGCAGGCAGCAAATGCACAGCTCTTCGCCTCTATAATCTAGCTGTTGCTGCTGCTGCTGTTGCTGCTGCTGCTGCTGCTGCTGCTGCTGTTGTTGCTGCTGCTGTTGTTGCTACTGCTGCTGCTGTTGCTACTCCCCATTACCACCATCATATCTGAACCGCTTAAAAATTTAATTTATAAGAATGTTTTATTTTGTTAATAATATTACTCTAGTCAATCGTTAGGGATATTCGGACTCATACGCCTTTTAGGGTTTAGGGTTTAGGGTTTATCGTTTAGGGTTTAGGGTCCATGGTTTAGGAATTACGAGCTGGGTAGTAGATTTTAGGGTTTAGGGTTGTTTAGTCTTAGGAGTTGTTTAGGGTTTAGGGTTGTTTAGAGTTTACGGTTTATAGTCGTAAAGGTTTATTTAGGGTTTATTGCTTAGGGTTTATTGCTTAGGGTTTATTGTTTAGGGTTTATTGTTTAGGGTTTACTGTTTAGGGTTGCCTAGGGTTTACTGTTTAAGGTTATTAGGGTTATTTAGGGTTATTTAGGGTAATTTAGGGTTGTTTAGGGTTGTCTAGGGTTTAGGGTTTAGGGTTTAGGGTTTGAGCACCATGCAGGAGACGTGGTTTGAGATGATATTTTTGCAGTCGAAGTCTCGCGGCCCTCTTCGCTGGCGCCCGTCATAAAAATAACTGCGAGTTCGTGTTATCCCTATATAAATAAATAAATAAATATAAATAAATATAAATATAAATAAATAAATATAAATATAAATAAATATAATTAAATAAATATAATTATATGCAATTAAATATTGTTAAATATAAATAAATAAATATATATATATATATATATATATATAAACATATATAATTAAATGTATGTATGTATATATCAATGTAAAAATAAAGCAATAAATAAATACAAATAAATATAAATAAATAAATAAATATACAAATAAACTAAAAGATATATATATATTATATATATAATATATATAATATAAATAATATCGTTACTTAACTATACAAACTATACTTATTAAACGTATAACTATATTTATATCATCATCAAAAGTATATTTATTTATTTATTTATTTAATATCAAAGACCAACCAAACAAAACTAAAAAAGTTTCGCAGTGCAGGCGAGCGAAGAAGACAGTCAAGGCCCTCCATCTGCAGCAAATAAATAAATAAATAAATATAAATAAATAAATAAATAAATATAAATAAATATATATGTATATCTATATATATATGTTTATGTATAAATGCATATATAAACAGATAAAAAACAAACAAAACAAATTATATAAAGCAGACGAAAGAAGTTGTTCATGCAAACAAAGACAGACAAAAATTATATAAATAAATAAATAAATAAATAAACAAATAAATAAATAAATAAATTAAATAAATAAATTAATTAGATAAATAAATTAAATAAATAAACAAATAAATAAACAAACAGATAAAAAGATAAAGAAAACAGCTTGCCGTTCTGTCTTGACAAATTTGCTGCATAGTGCAGACAATAAGGAGACTGTCCCTGCACAGATAACACACATGCTGCTGCTGCTGCTGCTGCTGCTGCTGCTACTGGTTCTGCTGCTGCTGCTGTTACTACTACTGGTTCTGCTGCTGCTGCTACTGGTTCTGCTGCTGCTGCTTGTGCCGCTGCTGATGCTACTGCATTTTGCGTCGGTATAGCGTGCTGTGTCCTTGCTGCTGCTACTACTGCTGCTACTGCTGCTGCTGCTGTTACTGCTGCTGCTGCTGCTGCTGCTGCTGCTGCTGCTGCTGACTGGCTTACGAATGCAGAGGTTGTGCATCACCAGCACGCCAACCAAAAGCACAAAGCGAATAGGAGCCTGCAGCAGCAGCAGCAGCAACAGCAGCAGCAAACCACTGTAGCAGCTGGAAGCTACGTTTTAGCTATATTACTCCTAAACCCTAAACCCTAAACCCTAAATAATAATCTCTACACCTAAATAACAACTCTATGAAACCCTAAATAACCCTATACACCCCAAAACCCTCGCCTAAACCCTAAACCCTAAAGAAGCAATTAAACCCCTAAACCCTAAACCCTTAAGAATCAACTAAACCTCTAAACCCTAAACCCTAAAGAAGCAATTAAACCCCTAAACCCTAAACCCTAATTTACAAGGAAGAAGGCGCCTAAAAGAATTTTGAGGGTGGACGAAGACCGCCACTCGCTGCGCTTGAAAGGAGCAAACTTCTGCTGCTGCTGCTGCGGCAGACGATCCCAAGCTGCTGCTGCAGCACGCAGCCAGCGCAGTGCTGCTGCTGCGTAAAAAGTATGCAGTGTACAGACAGCTAGCCACAGCAGAAGCAGCAGCAGCATCAGATTACGCCAAGTCAAGAAGCTGCTCGCTGATGCTGCAGCAACAGGCTCCTCTCCAGCAGCTCGTGCTGCTGCTGCTACTCCTGCTGCTGCTGTTCCCGTTGCTGCTACTGCTTCTGCTGCTGCTGCAGCAGCAGCAGCTGCTGCTGCACTGATCCTCTGCATTGCTGCTGCTGCGGACAGGCACTGCTGCAGCAGCAAAAGGAAGCCAAGACAAACGAAGCGAGACATAGAAGTGCAGCGCTCTGCTGCTGCAGCTCCAGCTGCTGCAGCTACGGCTGCCTGCGGCTGGAGCTGCTGCTGCTGCTGCTGTTGCTGTTGCTGCTGCTGCTGCTGCGCCTTTGAGAAGGATCAGCCGCAACAAGAAGCAGAAAAATAATAAAATCAATTTTGTAAGAGAGTATAACTACAAACAAACTGCTGCTGCAGCGCCCAAACCCGCAGACAGCCAGCCATGTTGCAGCAACGGCTCCTGCTGCTGCTGCTGCTGCTGCTGCTGCTGTGGCGGTCCCGCAGCACAGCTGCAGCAGCAGCTCCCTGCAAGTACAGCCCTTATAGCGGCAGCAGCAGCAGCAACCGCAGCAAATACAAATGAAGAGACGCAAAAATATCTTTAATACATTCTGCAGAAGCAGTGTGCCCCCGATACATGCAACAGCAGCTGCAGCAGCAGCTACTGCTGCTGCTGCTGCTGCTGCTGCTGCTGCGTGGTACATGCACGATGGTGACCACCAGAAGACTGCAGCAGCAACAGCAGCAGCAGAAGCGCCAGCAGCAGCAGCAGCAGAAGTTTGGGTAAATGAGATCTATATTATTTATTTACTAATATGACGGGCTTCCTGCTTAAGGTGTATGTTCAGCTCCGTTGCAGCAGGAGCAGCAGCAGCAGCAGGAGCAGCAGCAGCCGGCGCCCCACCGACCTCACCACCCTGCAGCCTCAAGGGCCTTTGAGGGGTCTTTAGCAGCCCCTCTGCTGCAGCAGATCTCTCATCTGTTTTCTGCTGCTTCTCTACTGCAGCAGTGACAGCAACAACTAATCTTCCGACAGCAGCAGCAGCAGCAGCAGCAACAGCAACACTACGCCCCCCAGCTGCTGCTGCCCCTACAACTACACAGGGCAGATACTCTCCTCCTTACCTGCCTTGAAGAGCCCGTGTGCTGCAGCAGCAGGGACACTGCAGCAGAAGCAACAACAGCAGCAGCAACAGCAGCAGCAGCAGCAGCAACAGCAGGGCGTCTGTCCCCTACGCCTTCATACTTCAGCTGCTGCACCCTCTTGCTGCAGTAGCAGCAGCACAGGCGCCTTGGCTCCAATCAGCAGCAACTGCAGCAGCAGCAGCAGCAGCAGCAGCACTTGCTGCTGCTGCTGCAACACGTCGAATCCTCTAATATGCAGAGTGAAGGAGGCCCTGCGTGCCCCTCAGGGGTTGCTGCTTGCCGGCTGCTGCTGCTACGGCTGCTGCGGAGCGGCTATACTGCAGCACAAGCAGCAGCAGCACTAAAGGACGGGCAGCTGCTGCAACAGGAGCAGCAGCAAGATCTGCTGCATGCGCTCGCAGGCCTTCTGGACGAATGCCTGCAGCAGCAACCCGACGAAGACCCCGCTGCAGCAGCTAAGCTGCAGCAGCAGCAGCAGCAGGAGGGCGATGCAGAGAACCAACCTCCTTTGCAGCAGCAGCAAGAACTGCAGCAGCAACAGGAGCAGCAGCAGCCACCGAGCAAACGGCCGCGCATTGCTGCTGCGGATGACAGCAGCAGTAGCAGGAGCGACACAGCAGCAGCAGCAGAGACGCAAGAAGTGCTGCTTGGTGGTGTTCTCTCGCAGGAGCTGCTGCTGCTAATTGTCTCTTTGCTGCAGCAGGTGCAGCCAATCCCTGCAGATATCTCTGCTGATTCTGCTGCAGCAGCAAGCAGCTGCTTGCGTCTCTTCTTTTCGAATCTTTCGGGTGTACGTGCAGCAGCAATAGCAGCAGCAGCAGCAGCAGCAGCACCAGCAGCAGCAGGGGCTGAGACCTTCAGCAGCAGCAAGGAATGGGAGTCGCTTATGGAGCGCCGCGTTGCAGCAGTCTGCCAGCTGCTGTCTGCATGCAGGAGTTCTGCTGCTGCTGCTGCTGCTGCTGCAGCAGCAGGAGCAGCACCTCTCGCAGCAGAAGCAGCAGCAACAGCAGCAGCAGAAGATGAAGCGCTGTGGAAGCGCTGCAGCACGCAGCTCCTGCTGCTGCGGCAGTGGATCCGCTTCTTTGCTGCTGCTGCAGCAGAGCGAAGAGAGCTTGTGGGGCGTCTCTCTAGCTGCAGCCAGCTGCAGCCGCTGCAGACGATGCTGCAGCACCCAGACAACAACGTATGGTGCTGCTGCTGCTGCTGCTGCTCCTGATGCTGCTGCTGCTGCTGCTACTGCTGCTGCAGATGCCGCTGCTGCAGTTGCTGCTTCTCCTGATGCTGCTGCTGCTCCAGCTGCTAGTAGTGAAGCTTCATGATGTGTTGCTTTGCTTCTATGGCTGCTGCTGCTGCGTGTGTTGCTGCTGCTGCTGTTCCTGCTGCTGTTGCTGTTGTTGCTGCTGCTGCAGCAGCTTGAAGAAGGTCTAGGGAGGGCGTTGGCTTTGCTGGAGCAGCAGCTGCCGCTGATAGGCCCGAACCCCCAAGCAGCAGCAGCAGCAGCAAAGTCAGCAGAGGCGAAGCTGCGTGCAGCAGCAGACAGATGGAGAGCTGAACAGGTGCTGCTGCTGTTGCTGCTGCTGTTGCTCTGTGCTCCTGCTGCTCTCCGCTGCTGCTGCTGCTGCTTTTGCTTGTTTCTGCTGCTGCTGCTGCAGGCCTTCTTGATCCTTGCAGCAGCAGCAATACATAGGCTAGAGGCTGGCTGCAGCAAACAGGCGACTTGCGCGCTGTTAACCATTTCCTCCTCCTGCTGCTGCTACTGCTGTTACTGCTGCTGCTGCTGCTGCTGCTGTTTGTGTGATAGGAGCGGCAACGGCAGCAGCAAGAAGAGATTCAAAGGCGCTCCGCCTTCTCCAGGGCCTGCGTTCATTTCGTGCTGCAGCGGCAGCAGGAGCAGCAGCAGGCAGCAGCAGCAGCAGCAGCAGCAATGCTGGGGACCCCTGCAGCAACTGCTGCTGCTGCCCGCAGCAGAGCTGTGGCTCACCCCTTTTACATCCTTGGTGTTAATCCCCACACGGCAACGGAGAAAACTGTACGTGCTGCTGCTGCTGTTGCTGCTGCTGCTGCTGCTGCTGCTGTAGTTGCCGCAGAGTAGTAGGAGTAGCTGCTACTGCAGCAGTAGCAGCAGCTGCAAGCAGCTCTCCTGCTTGAAGGCGTTTCCTGTGCCACTGTTGCTGCTATTGTTGTTGCTGCTGCTGCTGTTGTTGACGCTGCTGCTACCGCCGCCGCTGCTGCTGCTGCTGCTGCTGCTGCTGCTGCAGATTGCAGCAACAAGGAAGAAGTGGCGCGCGCTGCTGCACCCAGATAAATTTCATTCGCAAGAGGCGGAGATGCAGCAGCAAGCCAATGAAGCCTTCAAGGCAGTAAGTGCTGCTGCTGCTGTTGCTGTTGGTGCTGCTGCTGTTTCCAGTTTTGCTGCTGCTGCTGCTGCTGCTGCTTATGCTACGGCTGCTGCTGTTGCTGCTACTACCCGTACTGCGTTTGCTAGGAGTCTTGCTGCTGCTGCAACTCCTTTTACTGCTGTACTCTTGCTTCTGCTACTAACCCAACTGCTGCTACTCGTCCTGCTGCTGTTGCTGCTGCTGCTGCAGTACGAGGAAGCGTGTGCTGAGGCGCTGCGTTTGCTGCGGGCCCGTGCAATGGATTTGACGTGGGCGGCTCCGCCTCCGCCCCCAACACCTGAAGCAGCAGCAGCAGCAGCAGCACCTGCTGCTGCTGCTGCTGCTAGTGGAGGAGCAGCTGGTTCTGGTGCAGCAAATGGCACGACGTCCTCTCCCTTCGCGAACGCCAGCAACAGCAACAGCAGCAGCAGCAACAGCAGCAGCAGCAACAGCAACAGCAGCAGCAGCAGCAAAGTGCAGGTTGCTACGAGTTGTTATTTCCCTGATGCTGCAGTTGAGCCGCTGCCGCGCAGAAAAGCAACGGGGGCTTTTCGGGTGTATGTACAGGCTGCAAGCGCAAGTGCTGCAGCAGCAGATGGCGGAGAGGCAGCAGCAGCAGCAGCAGCATTCCGCTGCATTACGAAAGTGTGGGTGTACGTACACCGGCCTGTAAGAGGGGGGCCCCCTGTGTCTCTGCAGCCTGCTGCTGAGAGTTTGAGTTGTGTATTGCAGCAAGACGTGCTGCTTGCTGCAGGTGGCGACGAAGCAGCAGCAGCAGCAGCAGCAGCAGGGGGCGGTAGCAGCAGCAGAGAAATATCTATTGACGTTGCGGCAGTGCAGCCGCTGCTGCTGGAGCAGCAGCAAACCTACTGGATTGGCGTGCAAGTGCAGAGTCGAAGGAAGCATATATCGCTGATACGGTGGCTGCCGCTGCGCTTAACTCTTGCTGTTGCTCCTCTGCCCTCGCTGCAGCAGCTGCAGCAGCAGCAGCAGCAGCCGGAGCAGCAGGAGCAGCAGGAGGAGCTCTTTAGCGAAGAAGAAACAGACAAAAAGAAACAACACAAAAGAAAACACAAAAACCAGCAGCAGCAGCAGCAGCAGCAGATCGAACTGCTGCAGACTGCAGCAAAAGCAGCACTTGCTCAACTTAACAGCTTCGTAGGGGCCCCATTCCTCTCTTCGCTGCAGCAGCAGCAGCTGCTGCAGCACGTGCAGCGCCTGCAGCAACTCGCTCCTGCTGCAGTCCACAACCAACAAACAGCAGCAGCAACAGCAGCAGCAAACTGCCGTGCTGCTGTGCTCGCCGCGAGGGAGCTGCTGCAGGAGTGCATGCAGCAGGCAGACCACTGGGCAGATGGCTTCCGTGAGTAAGCAGCAGCAGCAGCTGCTGCTGCTGCTGAAGCTGCAGTATTTGCTGCTGCTGCTGCTGCTGCAGTGATGCTGCCTCCTCCAATTGGGGACAGGCAAACTAACGGCAGCAGCGCAGCAGTTGCTGCAGCAGGTGCTGCTGTTGCTCTTCGTTATTTGCTGCTGCTGCTGCTGCAGCAGCTCCCGCTCTACGTACACCCCACATGGGGAAGCAGACAGGGCCTCAACGCCCTGCTGGTCCCGCAAGACAGCAGCAGCAGCAGCAGAAACAGCAGCAGCAACAGCAGCGGCAGCACAAGCTGCATAAACTACACAGAGCGTTGGTGCACACAAACAAACAAATGTCTTTGCTGCGGCGCCGCAGCCACTTAAAAGAAAAACAAATTATCCTTTAGAGGTTGTTTTAAAAAAAAAGCAGCTGCAGCAGCCGCTGCTGCAGCAGCTGCAGGTGCTGCAGCTGCTGCTGCAGCAAATCTACGCCCAGGGCAGCCAGCTGTCCAGCCTGCCTGCGCGTACTGCAGCAGCATCGAGCTCCTCTGGCAGCAAATGCGTTGTTGCAACAACAGCAACTCCTGCTGCTGCTGCTGCTGTTGCTGCTGCTGCCGTTGAGTTTAGCTGCCGAAACGCTGCGGCTGGATCCGCCTTGCTGCCTAACCGCGGCAATACCACAGCTTGCTGCTGCTGCTGCTGTTGCTGCTGCTGTTTGCTGCTGGTTGGTTCCCTGTCTTCCTGCAGCACCAACTGCTGTTGCTGCTGCTGACGGTGCAGCTGCTGCAGCAGCAGACGCCGTTTGTCTTCCAGAGAGTCAAGAGCCAGCAGCAGCGAGGCCAACAGCCGGCGCTGGCTGATGCTGCTGCTGCTGCTGCTGCTGCTGCTGCTGCTTCTGTATGCTTTAGGAAGCTCACCGTCTGTGCCTTCTTGCTGCTGCTTCTGTTTACCGTTGTCGCTGCTGCCTGGCCCTTGCTGCTGCTGCTGCTGCATGCGCGGGATAGGGTCTAGGAGGCTTCTGTTTGCTGCAGCGCGCTCCAGCCCCAGCAGCAGCAGCACGCAGGGAGCAGCAGCAGCAGCAGCAGCAAACAGCTGCGCGAGGCGCTGCTCCGTCTCCCCTACATAAGGAGAAGCAGCAGCAGCAAGGGGCACAACCAGCAGCTGCAGCCCTGCAGCATCTGGAAGACAAAACAAATGCTGCAGCAGCTGCTGCGGGCTTATGCGACTAAAAGCATCATCCGCCTCCTCCTGCTGCTGCTGCTGCTGCTTGTCTGCAGCAGCACCAGCAGCAGCACGATCGCAGCCGTACAGCAGCAGACGCGGCGGTGAAGCCTCTCCCCGCTGCCCACAGAACAAACTCTGCATCACAGATTTGTTGTTGTTGTTGCTGCTGCTGCTGTTGCTGCTGCTGCTACGGGAGAAGAAGCTAATGCGCATTTGCATTGGCAGCAGCAAACGCTCCCTTAGCTGCTGCAGCAGCAGCTGCGCTCTGCTGCTGCAGCCGAGAGGATTAGGGGGAGGAGCAGGCAGCAGCAAATCGCCACCAATGTACAGCAGACACCGCGGCTGCTGCTGCTGCTGCTGCTGCTGCTGCTGTGGCTGCTGCGGGGCTTCTTCCAGCGTGTCTAAAGCATCAGCAGAAGCGTACAGATACACCTGAGCCTGCTGCTGCTGCAGCTGCTGCTGCTGCAGACGTACAAAGTCGTGGACATTCTGGAGCAGCTTCTGACGTTCTGCTGCTGCTGTGGCTGCTGCTACTGTGGCTGCTGCTGCTGTTGGTGCTGCTGCAGCTGCTGCTGCGCAGTGCAGCTCAATTACAACTAAGGGCGGGGCCCCCAGTTGTTGTGCAGCTGCTTGTGCTGATGCTGCTGTTGTCTTTGCTGCTGCTGCTGCTGCCTGCTGCAGCAACCCTCCAATCACTCTGCAGAGAGTTTGCTGCAGCTGCTGCCAGTGCTGCTGCGACAACGCAGCAACACTAGAAAGGCGCACCACGAACACCTGCTGCGGCTGTTGCTGCTGCTGCTGCTGCTGCTGCTGCTGCTGCTGGTGCTGCTGCTGCTGGTGTTGCTCGCATGCGTCTTTGAATGGAAGCAAAAGCTTCTCAACGAGACACAGCAGCAGGGCCTCACCACCGAGGGAGAGCTGCTGCTGTCCCGTTCCTGCTGCTGCTGCTGCTGCAGCAGATGCTGCTGCTGTCCTTGCCCTGCCCGGGGGCTTCCCTGCAGCAGCAGCAGCAGCAGCAACAGCAGCAGCGTCGTAGCGCTGCAGCAACTGGTCAACCTGAAATTGAAGATAATTCAACTCGCATGAGCTGCTGCTGCTGCTGTTGCCGTTGCTGCTGCTGCTGCTGCTGCTGTTGCTGCTGCTGCAACAATACGTACAGCTCGGCAGGCGGAACTTCAGCTCGACAGCGCAGCCTGCAGCTGCCTCTATGGGTCTTGCTGCTGGTGCTGCTGCTGCGATTGTTTTAGCTGTTGCTGCTGCTTCATTTCCTGGTGCAGCGGCTGCTATGTTTGTTGCGCGTCGTGCTGCTGTTGCTGCTGCAGTTGCTGCAGCAATTCGAGGCGTTCTCTGGGCAATGTCTTCTACTGCGCGACTCAGCTGCTCATACACTGCAGCTGCGCGCTTGCTGCTGCTGCTGCTGCTGCTGCTGCTGATGCTATCGGGAGGCGAATGACCCGGTGCTGCAGTTTGCTGCAGCAGCTGCAGCAAATTGAGCAACGAAGCAGCTGCCCTCCCAACCTTTGCCTCATCTTCTTGCTCAGCTGCTGCTGCTGCTGCTGCTGCTGCTGTTGCTGCTGCTCCTGTTGCTGCTGCTGCAGTTACTGTTGATGCTTCTCCCGTTGCTGCTGCCGCAGTTGATGTCTCAGATGCTGCTGCTGTCGCTGCTGCTAAGAAGGCTGCAGAAGACAGCGCTTGGGCGCTCATTGGCGCCTAAACCCTAAACCCTAAACCCTAAACACTAAACCCTAAACCCTAAACCCTAAACCTTAAACCCTAAACCCTAAACCCTAAACCAACATCCTAAACACCTCCAATCTAACAACAGCCACTTGTGAAGGTGCAGTTTTAGTGCGGAAGGTGGTTGAGGCCCTGCTGTTGCAGCAGCAGCTGCTGCTGCAACAGCAATAGCAGCAGCAGCAGCCGCTGCCGCAGCAGCAGCAGCAGCAAATGCAGGTGGGGGGTAGAGCCAGCTGTAGAATAAAGAGCAGCAGGGTTTATAAATTTAATTATTTGGGTGTTAAAACAACTCGCAAAGACCTCAACTCTAGTCGATGCTGCAGCAGCAGCAGCAGCAGCAGCAGCAGCAGCAGCAGAGCCGACAGCCCCGTGGGACTGAGGGGGAAATGTATGAAGGTTAAGAGGCCTAGCAGCAAAAGGAAGCAGCAAATAAACAAAATAGCAGCAGACACATCTCCTGATCCTTGCTAATAAACAAACCTACGAGCGAATAGCAGCGACAGCAGCAGCAACAGCAGCAGCAGCAGCAGCAGCTGCTGCTGCTGCAGCAACAGCTGCTTCTGCTGCAGGTCTCGGGTGTGGATAACACCCGAGAAGGTCGTGGAGATGGAGCAGCAAAACCACCTCAGCCAGGCAGCTGATGCTGCAGCAGCAGCAGCTGCTGCTCTTGCTGCTGCTGCATGCCCTCCTCACGCTGTTGCTGCTGTCGATCCTGCTGCTACCGCTGCTGCTGCTCTCCTTCCTGCTGCTTCGGCTGCTGCTGCTGCTTCCAACCCCGCCCCTCGCATGCAAACACGCGGGAAGGGCCTTCGAAAAGCAGCAGCTTACAGCAGCAGAAGCACACGCAGCCGCAGCAGCAAAGCCAGCAGCAGCAGCAGCAGCAGCAGCGGGAGCGCGACAGCTCGCTCCGTGTATCGGGGCAGCATTCGTTCGGTTGCTGCAGGGTCTGCTTCTGCTTCTTCTTATAGCTCACCAGCAGCAGCAGCAGCAGCAGCAGCAGCAGCAGCAGACCGGGGCCGTCGACGCAGCAGCAAAGTGCAGCAGAGGGTTGCTGCTGCTGCTGTCTTCTGGAGACGGCTTGCAGAGGAGCTCTCAGAAGCACCTGGAAAGTGCGATGTATGCGGAGGAGCAGAATCCACTGAGGTGAGGGTTTAGGGTTTAGGGTTTAGGGTTTATTGTTTAGGGTTTAGGGTTTAGGGTTTAGGGTTTATTGTTTAGGGTTTATTGTTTGTTTAGGGTTTAGGGTTTAGGGTTTATTGTTTATTGTTTAGGGTTTAGGGTTAGCGTTTATAATGTATTATTTGTGGCTGATTGCTAATTATCTATTGCTTATTCTTTAGGTTTTAGGGTTTAGGGTTTAGGGTTTAGGGTTTAGGGTTTGTGTGTGCAGGAGAATGCTATTCTGTTTTGCGACGCCTGTGATGTGGCCGTACACCTCAACTGCTACGGAGTAGAAGCGGTGCCTCCGGGTCTGCTGCTGCTGCTGCTGCTTGTGCTGCTGCGTTTGCTGCTGCTGCTGCCTTTGCTGCTGCATTCCCTGCTGCTGCTGCTGTCTGTTAATGCTGTGGGTGCGGGTGCTGCTTCGTGTGCTGCTGCTGCTGGTCTTTGTGTTGTTGCTTCTGCTGCTGATACTGCTAGTTCTGCTACTGCTGCCCCTTCTTTTGCTGTTGCTGCAGTTGTTGTTGCTGCGGCTGCTGCTGATGATGCAGCAGCAGCAGGTGCTGCTGCGTCTTCGTTGCAGCAACAGCGCCTCGTGCCAATTTGCTGTTGCTGCTGTTGCTGCTGCTGCTGCTGCAGGTGACTGGTACTGCGACTTCTGCCTCGACGCGCTGGAGCAGGAAGCAGCAGCAGCAGAAGCTGAAGCAGAAGCAGCAGACGCAGCAGCAGAGACGCCCGGGAGGCCTTTGCTGGAGGAGAGCGGCACCTTGAGCAGCAGCAGCAGCAGCAGCAACAGCGGCAGCAGCAGCAGCAGCAGCAGCAGCAGCAGCAGCATGCGTGGACAGGAGGAAGTTTCGCTGCTGTTTCCTCGCTGCTGCTGTCTCTGCCCCAGACGCTCCGGCGCCCTCATTAGGGCTGTAGAAGGTTTGTTGCTGCTGCTGCTGCTGCTGCTTTTTGCTGCTGCTGCTGTTGCTGCTGGGTGTGGTGCTGTTGGGGGCCCACTTGGAGGATTCGCGTGTCGCTGTACTTGCTGCTACTGCTGCTGCTGCTGCTGCTCGTGCTGCTGCTGCCCGTGCTGGTTGTACTCATGTTGCTGCTGCTTGTGCTGCTGCTGATGTTCTTGCTGTTGATCTTGCTGCTGCTGCTTGCTGCTGCTGCAGGTCCTTGGGTGCATGCGTCTTGTGCTCTGTGGCTGCCGGAGGTGGAGACAGTTGCAGCAGCAGCAGCAGCAGAATCTCCTGCAGCCGCAGCAGCAAGACCCAGCGGTGCTGCTGCAGCAGCAGCAGCTGCTGCTGCTGCTGCTGTATCCCCAGCTTCTGCGGCCCCCCCGACCAGCAGCAGCATCAGCAGCACCAGCAGCACCAGCACGAACAGCAGCAGCAGCAGCAGCAGCAGCAGCAGCAACGGGCGGCTGCGTGCTGCAGGTTGTGGCGGTGTTACTTCAAATCGCTTTGAGGGCCTCTGCTCTCTCTGCTGCTGGTCAGGGGGTGCTCTGCTGCAGTGTGCTGCTGCTGGCTGCAGCAGCAAAATGCATCCTGTCTGCTGCAGGCTCTTTGCATGCGGCCCTGATCTCTATGGTACGAACAACTTGCTGCTGCTGTTGCTGTTGTTGTTGCTGCTGCTGCTGTTGTTGCTGCTCCTGCTGCACTCCTAAATCTACGGCGGCGATTCCTGCTGCATTGCTTCTTTTGCTGCTGCTGCTGCTGCTGCATCACTTTGGAAGCATCTGTGCCTACTGTTGCTGCTGATGCTGCTGCCATTGCTATTACTGTTGCTGTTGCTGCTGCTGCTGCTGCTGCTTCAGCGCAGGCTGAGAATCTGCGTGCAGGGCGACGAGGAGCGTTGGCTGTCCTCTGCCCCGAACACCAACAGCTGCATGCAAGCGGCAGCGAGGTACTCCTACGCCTGCTGCTCCTGCTGCTGTTGCTGCTGCTGCTGCTGTTGCTGCTGCTGTTGGTGCTGCTGGTGTTGCTGTTGTTGCTGCTGCTGCTGCCGCTACTACGGTTGCAAATGGTCTTTCGCCGGTGATGCGGCTGTTGCTGCTGCTGTTGCTGCTGCTGCTGTCGGGTGGGTGCTGCCGTTATTTGCTGCTGCAGCGGTTTCTTGTTGTTTGCTGCTGCTCTGTTTGCTGCTTAGGGTAAAAATACAGCAGACAAAGGTTTGGGGCTGCACCCAGTCGCACAAATATGGCGTCTGCTGCAGCGGTCAGGAGATGCACTGCAGGTGAGTGCTGCTGTTGCTGCTGCTGCTGCTGTTGCTGCTGCTGTTGTTTATGATGCTGCTGCTGCGGAGAGCTGCATACTGCCAGACAGACCCCTTGAGTAGCTGCTGCTTCTTGACGCCCATGCACCGCGGGCTTCCTTATGATGCTGTGCTGGTGTTGCTGCTGTGGCTGCTGCTGCTGCTGCTGCTGCTTGTGTTGTTTGCTGCTGCTGCTGTTTGCTGCTGCTGCAGAAGGCACTTGACTGCCAGCGCGAGCAGACGGCCTGGGGCGCCCGTGTGAGCGCCATGCTGCTGCAGGTACATCCTTGTCCTGCTGCTGCTGCTCTCACTTTGCTGCTGCTGCTCTCACTTTGGTGCTGCTGCTGCTGCTCTCACTTTGTTGCTGTTGCTGCTGCTCTCACTTTTGCTGCTGCTGCTGCTTGCAGTTTGCTGCTGTTGTTACTCTCAGTTTGCTGCCGCTGCTGCTGCTGCTGCTGCTGCTCACAGTTTACTGCTGCTGATGCTCTCAGTTTACTGCTGCTGCTGTTGCTGTGCTTCCTTTAAGAGAGACTGGCTGTCTCTGCTGCTGCTGCTACTGCTGCTGCTACTGCTGCTGCTGCTGCTGTTTGCTGCAGGAGGTGCATGAGACCCTGAAGGCAGTGGAGCGGCTGTGGCGGCGGCTACACCAACTCTGTTGACAGCAGCAGCAGCAGCAGCAGCAGCAGCAAATGCAGGAGCAGCAGCAGTCGCAGCAGCAGCAGCAGCAATCGCAACAGCAGCAGCAATTGTAGCAGCAGCGGCAAGTGCAGCGTCATCAAATGCGGCAGCAGCAAGCGCAGCAGTGAGGAATGCAGCAGCAGCAGACGCAGCAGCAGCAGCTGGTAGCTGTTGGTTTACGGAGACCCTGAAGCGGCAGCGCGAAGAGGCATGTAGTACCGCAGCAGCAGCAGCAGCAGCAGCAACAGCACCCTTTGCTGCTGCAGAAGCCCAAGCGGTAGCATTAAGCGTAGCGGCAAATGTAGCAGCAGCAACTGCCGCTGCTGCAGCAGAACCGCAGCAGCAGAGTAGCGGCAGCAGCAGCAGCAGCAGCAGCAGCAGGCCTTTGCTGCTGCTGCTTTTTCAGGTATAGAATATCTTTGAGTTGTTTGGTTTGAAGGTGTACGCTCAACTCAACATACACCGCAACAGTTGCATATACACCCCAGCGTCCTTTGTAATAATAGCCGCAAAACAGCAGCAGCAACAGCAGCAGATGCAGCAGCAGCACAAAGAAGGTAAATAAATACATACGCTATAGCACTGACTACTTTACGAGTAGAGCAGCAAACGAGAAAGTGGCAGCAGCAGCAGCGACAGCAACAGCAGCAATAGCAGAAATAGCAGCAACAGCAGCAGCAGCACAATGCACGCAGTGCTGCTTATGCCACGCAGCCCAAAAGGGCCTCACATCAGTAACAGCAGCAGCAGCTGCTGCTGCTGCAGCAGCAGAAACAATAGCAGCAGCAAGCAGAAGGAGATGCACGGCATACGCTCTCATTGGAATATAAAAACTCTCCGTGTTGCTGCTGCTGCTGCGGCTGCTGCTGCAGCACGAACAGCAGCAGCAGCAGCAAAAAAGAGACAACTGTCGCTAAATAGGCCCTCGAAGCCCAATCCAACCCACATTCATTGCTGCTGCTGCTGCTGCTCCTGCTGCTGCTGCACTGTAGCGGCAAGTGCTGGCCGCCATGCTGCTTCTGCAGCTTCTGCAACAGCAGCAGCTTCCGTGCTTCTGCTGCATGCGCTTGTTGCTGCAGCAGCAGCAGCAAATGCAGCAAGCCGGAGATGCGCAAAGGGGCATTACGTCAGGGTCTGTATGTGCCTACCTGCTGCAGCAGCAGCTGCAGCAGCTGTAGCTGCAGCAGCAGCTAGAGCTACAGGAGCTACAGCAGCAGCTGCAGGTACAGGCAGCTGGATCAGCAGCTACAGCTGCAGCAGCAGCTGTAGCTACAGCAGCAGCAGCTGTAGCTACAGCAGCAGCAGCAGCGGAAGCAGCTGTAGCTGCAGCAGCAGCAGCAGCTAGAGCTGCAGCGGGTATTGCATATCTAGAGAAGAGGGCAGCAGCTGCAGCGACGGCAGCCGCAGCAGCGTTGCTGCAGGAGAGTAGAGATGGGTTAGAAGACAGTGATACGGCAGCAAAGGAGAGAGAGGTAAGACAGAGCCTAAGCGGCCATCTGCAGCAGCACATACACATGCAATGCTGCTGCTGCTGCTGCTGCTGTTGCTGTTGCTGCTGCTGGTCTTGCTGCTAGCCGATGCAGCAGCAACAGAAACAGCTAAAACCAACGGCAACAACAAAAGCAGCACTAGCATCAGCAGCAACGCCAGCAGCACCAACACCAGGAGCAGCAACAGCGGCAGCAAGACCAGCAGCAGCAGCAACAACAGCAGCAGCAGCAGCAGCAAGACCA